GACGGCCGCTACCCCGCCTCCCAGCAATGGGGGCCCGCACCGCAGCTGCACCTGCAGGTCCCGCAGAGCCTGGCCTCGTCGACGTTTCCCTCGCCCGTGTCGCCGTCGCCCTCGCTCGAGTACCCGCCGTACTACCACCCGCACCCGCCCCACCACGACGGCGCCGCCCTCTCCCTCAACCTCTCCGGCCTGTCCGTCGCGTCCCCCACCACCATCTCCCCCATCCACCCGTCCCCGCACCCCTCCTCCAGCACCCTCTCCCCCATCACCCCCCTCACCCCGCCCACCCACTCCTACCTCGCCGCCCAGCACACCCCCCACCAGTTCTCCTTCGCCCCGCCCCCCGCCCAGTACGACTACCGCGGCTCCTCGCGCTCGTCCTCGTGCTCCGAGAAGAGCGTCCCGCGCAAGCGCTCCTTCAGCACCACCCCCCTCGCCACCATCGACGCCGACTACCCGTTCGACGACGCGTACGCCGCCGTGGACGGCAGCCCCGTCGACGGGAGCACCAGCTCCGGCGAGATGGACGAGAAGAGTGCGCTCCACGACAAGCCCGGCGCGTACGCGGGCATCCCGCCCGGGAGCATCAACATCCTCGGCAAGCCCGCCGGCACGAACAACTTTGTCACCAAGCTGTACCAGTGAGTCTGCGCGTTTCGCTTCCGTCGCGCAACCAGTGGTAGACTTGCCTTGGCAGGATGATCAACGACCCCAAGTCCGCGCAGTTTATATCGTGGACAGAGTTGGGCACCAGGTGCGCTTGCCCCGCCGATCCCCGCGCCGTTTCTCACCCCGTCGCAGCTTCGTCGTCTCCAACGTCGGCGAGTTCAGCCGGAGCATCCTCGGCTCGCACTTTAAGCACAACAACGTCAGCCCTCCCCCTCCCCACTCAATCATCACTAACCCGCCCTATATAGTTCTCGAGCTTCGTCCGCCAGCTCAACATGTACGGCTTCCACAAAATCAACCGCGTAAGCCCCCTCCCTTTCCCCACCCACCCCCCGTCTCTTTTCTAACCGCCGCCCACCCAGACCCCCCGCGCCCAGCGCACCTCCACCGACGCCCAGACCTGGGAGTTCTCGCACCACAAGTTCCTCCGCGGGCGCCCCGACCTGCTCGACGAGATCAAGCGCAAGGCGCTCGAGCCCGACCCGGCCGTGAAGCACCGCGTCGAGCTGCCCGGCGAGCTCGCGGCGATGCGCGAGGAGGGCGCGAGGCGGGAGAGGGAGATCGCGGAGGTGCGCGCGCGGTGTGAGCGCCTGGGGAGCGTGGTGGGCGTGTTGTGGGAGGCGGTGGGGAAGGTCGTGCCTGGGGGGGGTGAGTGTTGGTTTGGATTTGGTTTCGGACGCGGGTTTGGTTTGTGCAGAGTGGGCTAGATGCAGCGAGCAGGACGGACCAGGGCACTGCTTCGCGCGTATCTCGTCGATTCGTGTTTTATGTCGCACCCTCGCACCCGTCATCCCTATTGTACCTGGGGGGTGTTCGTTTCGGGAGTTTCTTCGCGTGATTTGGTGCAGGGATGGTGATCGATGCGTTTTTGCCTGTGTGCCATCTCTCTCTGGTTTTGGTTTCGGTTGAGCCCTCCTCTTTCTCTTTCTCTTTCTCTTGTCCGAACACCCCTGCGATTTGCTCACCCCCTCTCTCTTTATTGTATAGTCCCGATGCCCTTCCCCGCGGACCTCCTCGACCCCATCCCCCCGGACATCTACGTCACGCAGCCCGCCTTCTCCTCCTCGGCACAATCGCAGTCCACACCCTACACGCAGCCCTCCACGTCCTCCCCCTACACGCAGCCTTCCACGTCCTCCTCGACGTCCTTCTCCTCTTCGGCACAGTCGCAGTCGACGTCGTTCTCCTCGGCCCAGTCGCAGTCGACGTCGTTCTCCTCGGCCCAATCCCAATCGACGTCGTTCTCCTCGGCCCAGTCGCAGTCGACGTCGTTCTCCTCGGCCCAATCCCAATCGACGTCGTTCTCCTCCTCGGCACAATCCCAATCGACGTCGTTCTCGCCGACGTCGTTCTCGCTCCCGTCGCTGCAGCACCACCCCTCGCTGCACTCGCTGCACTCGATCAGCCCGGGGTCGTCGCCGACCGCGGGGGAGTTTCCGGAGCACGCGCATTCTCACCACCCGAACTCGAACGCGAACTCTCAGACACACGCGCACCCGGGCTCTCAGACACACGCGCACCAGGGCTCTCAGCCACACGCGCACCCGAGCTCTCAGACACACACTCACCAGGGCTCCCAGCCACACACTCATCAGGGCTCCCAGCCACACACTCACCCGAACACTAACTCACACGCAAATCACACTCACCCTTCCTCCGCCAACCCGCAGTACACCTACCCCGACGAGCCCGGCGCGAAGCGCCCGCGCATGGAGCGGCGGCTCGCGCGCGCGCGGAGCGACTCGGCGCCGCTCGGGTACGCGCTCGGGCAGGTGCAGGGGCGGCCGCGGAGCGGGAGCGGGATGGAGCGGTGGGGGGGGAGGGGGAAGGGGAGTTAGTTCGGGGTGGGGTGGGGAGGGGAAGGGAGGTATGTGTAAAATGAATATGAAGGGGTTTGGATTCGTTGTGAGTACTTGGGACGGGTATTTCTTTCTTTCTCCTTTTCGTCGCTGTGTGTTTGTGCTTTTTTCAGCATTTGCGATACCGGACTACTTTCATTTCGTTTCAGATACCAGCCAGCCAGCCATTCCTTCTCATCACGGACTATCGACGCTCATTTGTTTTTTCTCGCCCTTGCAAGGACCACCTTGCGCCGCTCTTTTCTCTTTGTTTGCTGTTCCCCGGGCCACGCTCACTCCACGGTCATTTCAGTTTCATTCACACCATACACCATACACCATACACCATACAACGGACATCTTCCATCTTCCACTTCATCGCTTCATCTATCTCTGCATTAGGCCTGCATCGTTTACCCACATACAACCATCAAAACTCCCCACCCATCATCTCTCACCGGAACTGCATTTCCTGCACCCTTCTTTCTCTTTGTTTCTTGTACCTAGCTTACTTGCTTGCTTTCGGTTGCACTTTTGCCTTTTGCCTTTTTCTTTTTTCTCTCTCTCTCTTTTCTTATAGAGTGTATGAGTAGTTTAGGTGCTGCTTCCATTTTTTTCGGCCGGTTAGAGTGCAATATAGGATGTGATGTGTTCTCTGATGATGAAACGGGCAGGCAGAGAAGACGGCGAGTTTCATGTCGTTCGTTACAAGTACAGATGCACAGCGGTAGTCCAAGAAAACGGTATGTGACAAACCAGAGAACCGCACCGCTCACGGTAACGGCGAGAGACGCCCGTGCCCATTCGTATATGGTCCCGGCCGGTACCCATTCGCGTCGAGCTGCAGCGGCGGGACGTCCGGGAACGCAGCCGAGGTGTGCAGCTCGTAGGAGGGCGAGTCGGGGCCGGCGTAGACGAGCGGGAGGGGCTCGTTGTAGAACTGGGCGAGCGCGGGCTCGGAGGGGAGGGCGATGGACATGGCGTCTAGGAGCAGGCTGCGGGGGGAGGGGGGTGAGCTGCGTAGGGGAGAGGGTAAGGAGGGCGTACTCCATCTCGGCTTGGAGGGCTTTCATGCGTTCGTTGGCGCGCTCGAGGTCGCGTTGGTAGTGCTCGTTCGTCTATGTGGAATCAGTTCCGAGCGGGCGGGCAGGGAGGGGGAGGGACTGACTGCTGTCACTTGGTCGTATTTCTCCCGTAACTGGTGGAACCTAGGTGTGGCCAACATATATCGCATTACAAGATCATCCGCTTGGTGGTGTCAACTCACTTTTCTTTGTACCACTTCCCCTTGTTCGCAGCCTGCCCGAAAGCACAATCAGCGAACCTCTAGACCATGATAACGTCGCACATACCTTGGCCTTTTCGTACTCGTATCGCTCCTTGTCCCCCGGTCTTGTGAATTTGTTGCCAGAGTCTCGTCGTAGAGGAGCAGGGCGGATTGGGAGCGGTTGTGTCGAGGCGGACGTCGATGGGTCCATGGTGTGCAAGTCCTATGGCCGCACTCGGAGATTTCCAGCAGTAGGACCCGCACGTTGCACAGTCACGTGATGAGAAAGGGCAACATCCGGCATTATGTAATGTATTCCCGTGAGCTACGCTGTTGCCGCATCCCGTGGTGCTATATAGATTAGGGATATTTATGGGAAGAAATGACATATAATAGTAATGTATATATCTGCAAAAACTGAATAGAGGCAAATATAACAACTGGATAGAGAGACAAAGCTCTGTAAGAACAGCAAAGGCCACAAAATGGCCATAATATGGCTAATATTTAGACCATGGAACGTAAAGCTTATTAGAGTAGTGGTTTCGGCGTCGCGAGATGTGTTAAGGAAGGTCCTGCTTAGTTACCTCGATAATGAGGTCGTGGGTTCGATCCTGCGATTCAGCGGCCTTTTTATTATTGCCTCGGATAAGGGTGCATCGCAAGTCATAGTGCCCTTCCTTACCACTTATTTGTTTTTCCCTATCTTCCTTTTCAATGATAGCACCTGGTCTTCACTCCGCGATCTAGAGTTATAATACATTGTACTACTAATCAGTAATTGAGACTTAGACAAATCTGTTTTTCTCTAGCAGCTGTGCCATGTAACTCACTAAGTCCATATATATAAACTAAGGATGTATTTAATCATACAAACAATGTACAAACGCAACTCGGATGCTTATTCCCTACTTAGTCGCAAATATGGGACTTAGCGTTTATTACTTGCTCAGTGCTGACTCACATCAAGCATGTCACGTGAATCACGTGATTGTGCAATGTGCGGGTCCTACTGGGGGAGTTCACTCGGAGGGGAGATGTGGCTCGCCCGGCGGCAGATTGTTGTCAGTGGGAACGGGAAAGATTCGTGGTTGACTACAGTAAGCGCACTGCGCAACTTGCAACAGAACTGGTATTTATTGCTATTGGTAGAGCTAGGCTATTGAGAATACATGGTTCTTGCAACTCAGTACGTATATGTATAATAGCTAGAGATTATTTATCAATGCCCCATGGCTGAGTTGGTTACAGCGTCCGACTGTTATGGAGTCATGGCATCGGAAGGTCGTGAGTTCGAGCCTCACTGGGGCAGTCAAAAGAATTCTTTCCTTGTTTTTGCTGTGCCTTTATCGAAAGCACTATCGAAGCATTATTGTCTGTTAGTTTCCCGCATCGAAATCGAACATTCATGTGCCCAAATTGTCTTGACAAAGACATCATTTATCGTTGGCAGTGTAAGTATGAGACAGTGCGACTATATTATCCTTGATCCTTGTCTTCCCCTTCAGCAGCTGGCTCAGCCGACTTCCACCACGCGACGGGTCCGAGGCCTTGTTCGGCAATAGAGCACTATATTTAGGGGAAATAAACGAGAAGCCCACATGAAGCGACAAGTTGAGAGATCTTACGGTGACAGTATAGGGCGCCCTGCGTTGTTCACGCTCGACACGAACGCCCTCCGTGGCTTTCGGCGGGCCAGGCTCATCGTCGTAGAATTCATCTGTTTCCGGAGGGCGCATTCATCACGTTGTGGCCTCCAATACAAGTCGCGTGGTATGAAGAGAACGTACCGATCTCTACGCGGACACGCAGGACCTCCCCTTTGTCAATGTACATTCGGGAGGTAGTGGGAGAGTCGAGAAGTTCGTGTGTAGATGGTGCGGAGCCGTCCTCGGTAGCGGCTTCTGGGAGCCAGAAATGTGCCCTTTCGTTGGGGTCGCTGGGATGTGGGTGAGATTAGCTCGGTTGAAGTTAGGCATGCACATACAAAGCGGCAGGTTGAGGGAGGTAGGCGAGTGGGATGTACATGTCATCAAAAAAGCCGAGTGTTACTTGGGAAAGCCCAGGTTAGGGAGGGAGGGAGAGGGCCAGTGAAGGGACGTACATCGGATACCCTCCTCGTCGGATGACTTTACTTTCGCAAGGATAACTTCCGATGCGAAGGGTCGGAATACGACCATCCTGAATGTCACTGAATACACACACCAACTTCAACTCCAAACTCCTATTACTATCTGAGTCAAGCAGATACTCACCTTTATACCACAAACACCCGTCTCCATATCTCACCTTCCCCTCTCCGGCTTCTACCAAGTCAAATACAGCTATGCACAATCCCACTTCGTGAAGAACTCTGTTTGCATACTTTTTGTTGATAGCAGAGATGAGTGCCTGTTCTGGCGGGAGAGCAAAGGCAGCGGGGAGGATGGGGAGAGTATCTTTGATGATGGAGAGTTGGAACATGCGGGTTTCTTTCAAGCAGATATTGTCTTTGGAATAGAATGGCGGTACATGATACAACGATGAGATTTTGCTACAGGACTAGCGCATGGTGGCTGAAAAGACTCGATGATTGGAAAACGCAATGCAGCGCGTGTCGGACTCCGAAGTCCATCTCACTGCTCTTCTCAAGCTTCCAAGAATCCAAGGGTCTCGAGTACCCTCCGTTGAGCTCCAGACTTAGCATTCCTCTCTATTCCATCTATATATGTTTGATCAGGAATGAGTCTGATCAAATCGGTCTCCAGCCCGTGGCTTTCACTATGGAGGCGGTCGGTCCAGACGAATGCATGCACGACCCGAATGAATGCTATGGTACATGTCTCGGACGACACTCTCGCGAAAGCATGGCCCATGGGAGGTGGCCATTTGTCTGGGACTAAAGTTGCTATCAAAGATAACATATGCACCAAAGATATGCCGACGACGTGCTCTTCTGAGATGCTTCGCAGTACGCCTCCAATCATAATTCCATTGACTCTGAGACCGAGTTCAAACAAGACTTTACTCCACCATTTGATGCAACGGTGGTGACTTTACTACACAATTCCGGTGCACAGATCATAGGGAAGACCAATTGCGACGAATTCGGCATGGGGTGAGGTTCACGTCTTGAGTATCCCAATGTGCTTCGCAGACTGACCGCGCCATCCCAGCTAGCTCCCTCAATATTCACTCCATTCACGGGCCAGTGGTCAATCCATGGAAGTCTTTCTCGCCGGATGACCGACCAAGGTCAGCAGGTGGCAGCTCCGGTGGTTCAGCAGCTGCTGTAGCTGCAGGCTTGTGTGACGTGTATGCGAGGCCCCCGTTTGCTCTATTTCCATACTCATCGCAGATTTAGGTCACTCGGAACTGATACGGGCGGCTCGGTTCGCCTTCCTGCCTCGTACTGTGGTATCGTCGGTCTCAAACCTTCCTACGGGCTTCTAAGCAGGTATTGCACACCCAGTATCATCGGATTCAGATACGGCGTGACTTAGGTTCACTGTCTGCAGATGGGGAGTTGTATCTTACTCGGACTCGCTGGACTGTGTCGGCGTCCTCGCGCGTACAGTGGACGACGTTCAAAAAGTCTTCAGTACGATGTCCTTCGCTTCTCTTCTCTCCTAAACTAAGTCACTGTTTGGACTACCCAGTGACGTTAAACCACCACGACCTCAAGGACCCTACCTCCCTCCCGTCATCAGTTCGTGCAAAAGCATCCAACATGCTCTCAGTACAGACCTTCTCGAGGTGGGATGGCGACTCCTCCAGCCTCTCAGGCCTCCGCATAGGCATCCCGCAGGTCTGTCGACCCTATGCCCATGTCTGCATTAAATGATTAACTTGCACCGGTACGTGTGCAGGAGTACTTCCCTACGGAAATGCAGCCGTCCGTTCTCCACCCAATCCGATCGCTGCTAAAAGAACTGAGAGGGCTAGGTGCTACTCTCGTGCCTGTATCCCTTCCTAGCACATCGTACGCGCTTAGCGCTTATTATGTGATTGCCAGCGCGGAGGCGAGCAGCAACCTGGCGCGGTTCACCGGCGTGGAGTACGGTGCGCGAACTGAAGAAAGGCGTGTGTTTGCTTGTATTAATGTGTATATGTCATTTTCTAGGGACCTATGTTGATCCACCCCCGGGCGCAGACCGTACAAAGGCTGCTCATGTGTATGCGTACTCGCGGTCGAAGGGGTTCGGGAGAGAAGCAAGGAAGCGTATCCTGCTTGGGACGTATGCTCTCAGCGCAGAGTGAGTGGCTCTCTACAGTACGTTTCACGCCAGCTGAATGGCACCGCTTCAGTGCTTTTGACAACTATTTTCTTCAAGCCCAACGTATCCGTAAGCTCGTGAAATGCGACTTCGACGACATATTCGCTGTTCCAAACGTCCTCTCTTCATTCCAGTCTCAAGCGACCAGTCAGCCAAAAGTCGACGTACTCATACATCCGTCCGCGATCCGTACCGCCCCTCCCCTTGAATTGGTGTCCGACTCCCTGGACGCATACGTGCAGGATGCGCTGACGGTTCCCGCATCGCTGGCGGGCTTGCCAGCGCTTAGCGTGCCTGCAGGAACAGCTGATGACGGGTGGCCAGTGGGGATGAGCGTTGTAGGCCAGTGGGGGTGCGATGACCTCGTGATTAGGGTCGGGGAGGTTGTGCATGCTGCTGCGGGAAATAATTAGGGCCTCAGCACCAGCGAGCTGCTTGTAGCGATTGGCTGGTGGTATCTATCGTAAGAAACCGTGCGTCGTCCTTTCTTCTCCCTCTTGCGCTTTGAAGTCGTTGACGATAGACTCATTCCTGGCCGCTTGGGCAGTCGTATCTATGGCATATTTCACCTTCCATTCGTAATAAATTAACGTCCCGCTCACTATGACCCACAATAGAGTCCGTGATCCATCTGTGGCTCAGAGTTGTGCACGAAACTGCGTTTCTACGAGACGAACTGATCAGTGTCGCACGTCATCTCTCTGTCTATCAGCGTAAACATAGTTTGACTTGATGTCAGGCTTTATTACATTACTATCGTCATCCCGAGCCTACAGATTTCATTCAGAGCAACTATGCTTCGAGCTCTATCTGTGCTTCCCGTTGTCCCGGGGTCGGTTGGTGTCCAGCAGCTACGATCTAGAACGACGAACTTGCCATCCGCTTGTAGCGCTCAAGTGGCCGGTGCACTGCTTGTTCGTACCACAATAACGCCGGTGACTGTCCCTGCATGTGTATATATAGCGGGTCCATCATGAACAATCGGGGATAATTCCACTTGATGGTTTACGACAGCCTCAGGTGCAATGCCAACATAAATAAGTGATGCAGTCCCAACGGTTTGTTCTCTCTTCAATCTCGCCGGTACCAACATGACTAGTGCTGATGTGCTCAGTCCTTTATGGATTGGATTCATTGTTTCGACAGCGTACGTTGCTCTATCCCAGTTTATTGGTGAGCATCCTATGAATGCAGTTGTTCTCCAGCTTGTATGGTGTCACTCTCGGGCAAACCGTGTACTACTATTTATCATTCCCGGAAGATAATCGTGCAACGAAGTGTCTAGTGAGTAGGACCCGTGCTACCTACTCTCAGAGATATTTGCTCAATCCAGTCCAGGTCGCGATGTTCTTCTTAGTATGTGGATCTGCTGGTTTCCACTTTGTGTCATTTGGGAAGTATGAAATAGATGGAAACTGTACATGAAGCCATGATTGTCCATTCCCAGTGGTGGTATCTGGTTGCTGAATGTAATGGTGATAGTAATGCCTGTTTGCTGGTAAATTGGTGAGTGATGTCATATAGCAGCTGAGCACATCTAAGATGTCCTCCAAATCACAGGAGCATTATGGTAAGTCCCTTAATAGGTGAGCAACCATTTATTGACTGAGGAGTTTCTATTTGGATAGTTTCAAGCCTGTCCTACGGTTCAGTACATTTTCAGTTGCCAGTACTGCAGCATGGGGCTGAGAACATTAACTAGCTACTCATTAGTTTTATGGGGCAGGTGTATGTTCTCCACTCTCACTTTAGTGTACTCCAAGTCACATCCAGTGTCTATATCCAGGTTTTACATCTCGAAGGTCTGGCAATGTAAGTGAATAACTCTGATTTTGATTCTGACTATGTTGAGCCAATTGTTATGTCTAGTCCAGCAGCACAAGACATCAGTTGTCCTGGTGGGTTATCTTGATTTATGATGGAGCAACATCAATGGCCTACTGACATGTCAATGTCAGGCAACAATGAGTGTGATAGGCCTCGGTCTGTACCATTGTCCACAACTACATGCATGATGCTGAGTTGATTATGGTCAACAACATTGGAGTGACTGGAA